CGTGCGTGCGTGCGTGCTTGCGTGCGTGCGGGCGGGCATGCTTGCGTGCGTGCGTGCGTGCTTGCGTGCGTGCGTGCGGGCATGCTTGCGTGCGTGCATGCTAGCGTACATGCTTGCGTGCGTGCTTGCTAGCGTGCGTGCGTGCTCTCTAATACGAGAGCGAGTGTACTGCAATAACTACACGCCGTGCCGAGAGCGACACTCGCCACCATTATGAACTGATGTTCTGCGGACTGGTCACCGGCACGTATATATACGCACGCACGGCGCGGACACGGCTCCCGGAGGCAGCCAACTCTCTAAACGCACACGCACACACAGGAACATCGCGTGATCGCTGCGTCTGCCACGGAGGATGCTAGCAGAGATTCCACGCCTGGAAAAATAACGTCGTCGGCTATGGTAAAGAGATAACATACGAACGTACGTACACGCGCGGTTTTGCTGGACAAATAACGTCGTCGGCTATGGTAAAGAGAGAACATACAAACGTACGTACACGCGCGAGTTTTGTGGACAAATAACGTCGTCGGCTATGGTAGAGAGAGAACATACGAACGTACGTACACGCGCGGCTTTACTGGACAAATAACGTCGTCGGCTATGGTAGAGAGAGAATGTACGAACGTACGTACACGCGCGGCTTTGCTGGACAAATAACGTCGTCGGCTATGGTAAAGAGATAACATACGAACGTACGTACGTGCGCGAGTTTTGCGTGGGAGCGAAACAGGGAGAGCGTGCGTATACAGTAAAACCTGCCCCGCAGATACGAAACCGCGTAGAAGTGCGAGTTGATTCTTCTTCTTTCGGGCGGCAGCATCAGAGAGAGAGAGAGAGAGAGAGAGAGATCGAGGGAGACAAAAAAACACGAAAGCTGTGGGATCTACCGAGAATGAATGCGAGAAAAATAACGCCCGCGCGAGTGTGAAAGCGAGTGTCGTCGTGCAAGCATACAGCTGTGAAGTGGCAGTCTATACAATCCTAAATATGACGAACACGAGGGGAAGCATGCATGTACATGGAAGGTGGGCGGGGGGACCGGAATGGCATTTTACTTGTAACCGTCTCCGTCGCCGCCATCCTCTTGCTAAATGTAGAGGACGCATGCAAGCCAGCAGAAACAACCAGCGTGAACACTACGTTCTGGCACAAAATCATTCCTGCCACTGTACCACAGATAAATATTTACGGAGGCGGGCCTACGGAGTTTTATTAATGAACTCCCACGTGTTTCGTTGGACAGATATTATAGAGTATGTTTATGGGTAAGAAATGCGTTGATAATATGCAGACGATTCGAGGTCGACTGTGCGTTGCGTTATCGTATTTAAAACAGGTTCGGCTTCTTAGACAAATGTACAGCGAATTACAGTCTATATACACACTTCTAGGGCTAATGGTCTACGAAACCGTAGTCTGACAGAAAGCATTGTTATATGAGTTTTCTTCGCGAAAACATGTTCGCGATGTTAGATAATACCCCCCTTCAACTTGTTAAGGCATGCGTGCTAAAATTCTAAAACCTGAAGCGGTACTCATGACGTCACACATACAGAAGAGATGTTGCCCGGATGCTAGCGATCTAAATTATCGGTTATGAGCCGCATATACATGCTAATCCGTGTTCATCGTAAAATATTACTGGCGCCTCGGATGTTGCTTCTCATGATGTCTGCTGCAAAAAACAGCTAAACATCGTATGATCGCTATCAAGTCCATGATATATTTACTTGTAACCATAAAATCAGGAGCATACACGTGTGTGGGTGTCTGCTACGGCTTTTGCAGGTGTTAAGAATTATGTAGAACGTTTTTAAAG